CGACACGCGGAACAGCAACATCAGCGCGGGATCCGGGAGCATCTCGGGGGGTGCTCTCAGCGGGACGTCCGCCACCCTTTCCGGCTCCCTCTCGGCCAATGGCGCTACGTTGAGCGCTCCCGTCAACATGGGAGCGAACGCCGTATACACCACGGGCAATCTCAGCAGCGGCAGCAACCGGGCTTCGACCGTGTACTCTGCGAACGTCGACACGGGAGCTCTGGCCGTCAATAGCAACGCCTCGATCGCGGGCTCCGTGACCTGCTACTCCATCGACACGCAAAACAGCAACATCAGCGCGGGATCCGGGAGCATATCGGGGGGTGCCCTCAGCGGGACCTCCGCCAGCATCTCGGGCCAGCTGACCTGCAAGGTCATCGACACCCAAGGCTGCAACATCAGCGCGGGGGGCATAAACGGCGGGGCCTTCGTCGGCACCAGCATGAGCGTGGGCACGGGCTCGGTGAGCGGGGGTTCGGGCAGCTTCAGCGGGGACGTGACGGTCTCCGGCAAGCTGCAGGTGGGAGGTGCCATCGACTACGTCAACACGAGCGAGCTCCTGGTGGCGGACAAGCACGTCACGCTGGCGGCCACGTCGAACCCGACCGATGCGACCGCATCTGGAGCGGGGATCTACGTACAGGGCTCGAACTACGCCACCTCGAACGCAGCGATATCCCTCACCTGGAACCAAGGCTGCAACGGCAACTACTGGTTGCCGAAGGGAGGCAACCTGGCACTTCCGGGCACCGCGGGCTCCAAGATGGTCACTCTGAGCACCACCTCGAACGGGGCCCTCCAGTTGCTATCCGACGACGGCATATCGGCGACCAGCACGGCTCTCGTGGGCGTGTCTCTCATCGCCTCCGGGTCCAATCTGGATCTTGGGAGCACCTCCAATGCCCGGAATACGCTCTACGCATCCAACATCGGCACGAGCGCGAAACGGGTCGTCAACGCGGCCATCGCGTCCGGCCTCGACGCAACCAAGATCACCACGGGCACATTCGGAGTGGGCGCCTTCGGAATGTAATATATCGACGACGGGGACTTTCGGGGCGGGGCCATCCACCCTGAGCACCGTTTCGTGCACCACGCTCACTACGAACAACAACAACATAACGGTGGGATCCGGCTCGATCACGAGCGGCCAACACAATCCCACCACTAGCGCCACATACGATCTCGGCGCGTCTGCAACCGCATGGAAGAGCGCCTACCTCTCCAGCAATCTGACCGTCGGTGGCGCCATAACCGGTTCGAATAGCCTGACTCTACCAGGGCAGTATACTTGCTCACTGCAGCCTTCTTTCGACACGATTTCCAACGGAGTCAAGGATCTCGCAACGTTCACGAGCACGACTGGGTCTGGTCAGATCTCCTTCGATGTCTCGGTGATCATCTCTCAGGCTAACACCGCTGTGACCAAGAGGTACGTACTAACCACCGGTTACAACGCGACGAGCAGTTCGTGGCAGCGGTGCGTTCCCGTTTCGGCGCATGTGTTTGCCGGTTCCACCGACAACTACGAACTTCAGATGCAGTCGTCGATTTCGCCCACCGCCATCAAATTTCGCTTGGTCCACAGCGTCAACACCGTCGCATCTACACCCACCATCAATATCAATGCCACTTACGCCCAGAACGACGTGCCCACTTTCGCGAGTCTGACCGGCAACGCGCAGTACACCGACGCCAGTTGGGCGACGTATGGGTTCGTAAGTTCTGCGGTCCTCACGCAGGTGGGTGGCCAGGTCGGGGTCGGAACACTAGCCCCCTCCGCTAAGTTCCACGTAGCTGGAGGCTCTGCGCAGTTCGACAGCAATGTCACCGTGACGAGTGCGCTGAACACCAGCAATCTCACGGCCACGGGGACCGTGTCCTTGCCCGCGAGCTCCGTGACGAACGTCAACATCTCGGGCCTCGACGCGTCCAAGATCACCACGGGTACGTTCGGAGTGGGCGCCTTCGGGGGGTGCAATATCACGACCACGGGCACTCTCGGGGCGGGGGCATCCACTCTGGGAACACTCGTGTGCGGTTCTATCGGGACGCAGGGCAACTCTATATCCGCAGGAACCATCTCGTGCACGGGCATCAATCCCGGAACGACGGCGTCGTACGACATCGGAGCGAGCGGGACCGCATGGCGGAACGCCTACCTGTCCGGATCCGTGTCTGCGGTGGGCGGATTGAGCACGTCGAACGGGCTGACGGTCGCCGGTGAGTCGATCAGGTCGTACACCACGAGCTTCGACGGGACCACGTCAAACGCGTGCCGAGACATCGCCCAATACGCCGGAACGGTGGGGTCCGCGACGTTCGACGTCGCTGTGGTGCAATCCGCGAATTTCCAGACGAACACGACGGAGTATTCGTTTGCGGCCGGCTACAACATCACGAGCGGGTCGTGGCAGCGCTGCATGCCGCGGAGTGCATACAACGGAAACGTGGACGCGTGCGAGCTTCAGATATGGTCTTCGAACGCCACCACCAAGTTCAGGCTAGTGCATTCCGTCGTGAACCAGGCGGCGACCCCCACCGTCACCATCCACGCCTTCTACAATCAAAGCGACGTGCCGACGATCACGAGCCTAACGGCGAACGCGCAGTATACCGACGCCAACTGGGCGACCTACGCGTACGCATCGTCCACGGTCCTGACGCAGACGGGTGGAAAGGTCGGCGTGGGCACGGTCGCCCCCTCGGCCAAGTTTCACGTCGCCAACGGCTCCGCCCAGTTCGACAGCAACGTCAGCATCGGCGGGCAAATCAGCGCGTCTGCTGGACAAACCCACACGTTGCCGGGCATACTCGTGGTCAACGACCAGACCGACTCCGGGGCGACGAGAGGAGTGCGGTGGTGGGACGCCACCAATGCTGAATGGGCTACGTACATGACCACATCAGCAACAAGCAAGAGCACCGCATCGGGGTCGACTTGCCAAGCACTCGATGGACGAACGTCGCACCATGTTAGGAACCGCGTTGGGACTGGCTCAGGATGGGGGTTCATATGGGAGAACAGCTCGGAACAATGCCTGATGTCGCTAACTGCAGACACGGGCAATCTCTTCCTCAAAGGGACGATCGGTTCCAGCTCCGTGCGTGTTGGCACGGCGTATCTCAACAACGCAAATTGCGCCACATCGAGCGCCACTGGGGCAGACGCCCTGACTCTGACAAACATGAGTACGAATTTGAACACGACGAAATTCGTTGGAGCGAAGTTTCAGGGTACGGACGGGGTTGGCACCTTGAAAGACTCGGCATACATCCGATCTATGCCGGTCGATCAAAACTACGTCGGAGCAGATTTGGCATTCTCGACGAGAATAACGGACGTGCTAAACGAGCGCATGCGCATCTGCGGATCTGGGAACGTCGGCATCGGCACTTCGGCACCGTCTTCCCGGTTCCACGTCTCCAACGGCTCCGCCAAGTTCGACAGCAACGTCACGGTCACCAGCGCGCTCAGCACCAGCAACTTCACCGCCACCGGTACGGTGTCCCTGCCTACGAGCTGCGTCACGAACGCCAACATCTCGGGCCTCGACGCGTCCAAGATCACGACGGGCACGTTCGGAGTGGGCGATTTCGGGGGATGCAATATCTCGACGACCGGGACCCTCGGGGCGGGCTATTCGACGTTGGGCTCCCTATCGTGTGGTGACCTGACCCTCTCGGGCGCGACTCTGATCGACGCCTCGCTCTCGGCGTACAATTCCGGGCACGACATCGGCAAAGCCCAAGACATGACCGGCATGGTCTCCGCAGATCTCTCAGACATGACCTGGAACGACATACATATCACGGGCAACGTCAATATCTACGCCTCCGACCCCGGGTATTTCGTATCCCTCGACTACCTCAACAACGACACCTACGGCTTCGGGCAATGGAGCGGAGGGACCGCCAGAGCGGTGATCTCGGGTTCTAACGCCAACGCGACTTTCAACATCTCCAAGCCCACGGGCGCATCGACCTTCAATGACATGGTCACGGTGACCAGCAGCGGCAACTTGGGGGTGGGGGTGTCTCCCTCCACGGGCTACAAACTCGACGTAGCAGGCAGGATGCACGCGACCGGCGGGGCTCAATTCGACAGCAACGTGACCGTCTCCGGGACATTATCCGCCACGACGTACTCGGGTCTACAGAGGAAGGTGTGGAACGCTCAGACGCTCGGCTTCGCAAACACGACGGCCACCGTCAAGTACCACAAGATAGCGACGTTCGGGGGCACGAACGCCGGCAACACCGCGGGTTCCGTGTACATAACGGGAACCATGGGCGGATACATAAACAACCAGACGACGAAAGTCGATATCGACATAGCCAACAGAGGCGGTATCACGGTCACCGGATCGGCGTTCGGATACCCGAGTACGACATCGACCATCACCGACCTCGTCCTTTACTGGGAAGGAGGTAGTCTCAGTACGTCTCCGTGGTCTCTCTACATAGTCAGCAAGGGCCAATACCAGCTTTGGGACCTGAGTGTTTCTGCGTGTCAATTAGGAGTGACTGTCTACGAACCGAGTACCACGTACGTGACCGACCCAAGCAACGGCGGCGCTTACACAATGGTATGCTCCTCTGTAATAAGTCGCTTGAATCAAGTCACAGAGCTGTCGTCGGGGACCGCGGTCACATCGTACAACAACTATTCGTATACGTACGGTGGTGCCAGTTGGTCGAGTGCGGGGAGCGCGAACAGCGGCACCATTCAATGCGGCACATTGTCGTCGTCCGGTCTCAACGTCACTTCGTCTTCGACCGCGACCATCAGTACCATGACGTCGATCTTAGCCCCATCGTTGGCGACCGGGAATTACATGCTCAACGTATTCGGAACCGGTCAAGCCAACAATAACTGCGGATTCCTCGCATTCAACAACGTCGGAGGCTCTAACTCATCTTCGAATTATGCGGGTTTCGGAACGTGGGGAAACCTCCTCGGCCCGGGGACATTCAACGCATGCGCGAGAGGGAAGTTCGGCGTTTGCACGGCTACGCCAGCGGCCACACTGGACGTCTCCGGGACCGGCAAGTACTCCGGGGCGCTGACCTGCGGCAGCACAATCACGGCCAGCTCCAACCTGACGACCGCCGGAACGTTCAGCATCGGCTCCGTGGCGGGCACACCGACCGCTACGGGTGCACCCTATATGGTGTCCACGGCGTTCGACGCCGTAGGAACGTCTCACAGCATAGGACTTCCACCAGGTAATCGCAACTCCGCCGGGTTGCTGCACGTCTACGTGAAGAATCTGAACGGTGCATACGGCGGATCGAAAGCGGGGTACATGAGACTGTACTACATCGCATGCAGCGGAGACGCTGGCAACACGTTCAGCATCATAGAGAATTGGTCACGGAACATAACGACGTTCACCGCCGCTACCAGCGGCCAGGGATGCGCGGTAACAACGGACAGCGACTGCTGCATCGCCTACTGCTATCAGGGCGCGTGTTGATCGGCCGTCTCGTCTCCGCGCATCGCCGCCTCCGCCTTCCGCAACAAGTACTCCTTCGTCCTCTCGAACCCCACCCTGAACATCTCGTCCGCCCTCTCCGCGCCCCTCTCGGGCAGAGACGCACCGTCCAACAGCCTCAGCACGGAGTCACCGTAGTCTCGCTCCGAAAACTCCCTCTCGTTCGCCTCGTTCAGGTGCTGCGCGATCCGATCGAAGATGGCGCCCACGTCCGTCCCGCCTCCGTCCCCCGACGTCAACTCCAGCCCCAGAGTCCGGCTCGGATCTCCCCGATCCAACATCGGCAGCCGCTCCAGCACCCCTCCGTCCAGGTAGGCCGATCCGTCGATCTCCACGGGCGGGTTCCACAGCGGTACTGAGCACGAAGCCCTCAATACGTCCACGAGCCCGAGGCCCGGGTCCGTCGACGTGCTGAACCTCCGCGTCCTGCCCGTCGTCAGGCAGTACGTGCTCACCGACAGATCGCTGCCAGTCGCGCCGCTCACGTCCTCGAACGTGGGACGATCCTTCCCCGTGCGGGCTCTTAGGAGTCCCTCCACCTCCGCCATGCCTCCCACCTGAAACAGCCCGTTGAACGCGAAGCTCGGCCGGTACCTCTCCATACGCACCTTCTTCTGCGCCTCGTGGAGCTCCTCCGGCATATACCCCGCTACTCGTAGCGCCGCCACGTTCGCACCGCAGCTGGCACCCGCGTACGTCTTGGGGGTCACGCCGGCCTCCTCCAGCGCTCGCAACGCGCCAAGGTGCGCGGGGAAGGAGAGGCCGCCGCCGCCGAACACCACGCAGTCCATCACCTCCGCCGTCCTATACTTCGACCCCTCCCAAAAAAAGTCGACACCGTGGCCCGGCGCTCCCTTTTTCGTGATCCAACGTATGTCGGGATGTCGCATCCCTTCGTGGTCAACCGTTGGACCTCTTCGACCGGAGTCGACTACGATACGGACGACGAGCTCGACGGGCGCTTCGCGTTCTGCACCCACGCGCACGAAGACCACATGCGGGGGATCGAGCGCTTCGGGCGCCCCTTCTTCGCATCGCCCGTGACCAAAGAGCTGATCCGTCTCCGGTCCCCTGACATCCCGCCCAGCAACATCATCGCCTTGGACTACGACCGGCCGTACCAGCTCAACCGCCGGCTGTGCGTCACCATGACCAACTCGGGCCATTGCCCCGGATCGTCGGCCTTCACCTTCGAAGGACCCTCCGGCAACGTCCTGCACACCGGCGACGCGAGGTGGGAGGCGCCCACCATCGCCAAGCTACCGCCCCGCCTCTCGGAACGGCCCGGCTACGTCGACCGGATCTTCCTGGACGCCACGTTCGGCGGCAGGGACGTGCTGCTGGACTCCTTTCCCAGCCGAGGCGATAGCGCGGACCTCGCCCGCCGCGCCATCTACTCGCACTCTATGCAGACCCACCCCCACGTCGACGTCGCAGCCACCATGCTCGGCACCGAACCCCTCGTGCGCGACCTCTGCGACTACTTCGCGGTGGAGCTCTACTGCGACCCGTCCCTTCGTGAGAGGCGCGCCCAGCTAGAGATCGCCCTCGGAGAACAGTGGCTCATCGACGATCCCTCCGCGACATTCATTCGACTCTGGGACCCCAGACGACGCCCCTCGCGGACGGACGCGGTGTCCCTGCAACCCTCCACGCAATTCTTCACCGTCAGGCCCGGCGCGCCCCACCTGCGCCAGCTGATCGAGCCGGGCCTCGTCAGGGATCGGGCGGACGGCTCCTTCCGCTTCCTGTACAGCATGCACAGCAGCAAGGCCGAGCTTCAGGACCTCCTCTGGAAGCTCCGGCCGAAACACGTCACGCCGATTGCGGGCAGCACATCGGGGCTCTGAAACAGGAAGCGGACGACAATGCGTATGCCGAAGGACCCTACCCTATTATGCGTATCGTGAAGGAATTCACTCAAGGTAACGGACCCCGGCGAGTACCCCTCAGATAATGCGTCTTGTAGGGGCTACTCTGAGGATCCTACCCTAGCGATATCCCTAGTCAAAAACGCCACAAGACACAAGACAGTAAGACGCATTTTTTCGGAAAGTTCCTGGGATTCCGAAGGATTGTGGCGGATCTAGATCGTTCATTTGATCTCAGGGACTTTCTAAAATAATGCGTCTTACTGTCTTACTGTCTTAATTAAGAGATCCACTAGGGGAATTCGCTGCCAGGATCCACCGTAAGACACATAATGCGGCTTATTAACGAATCCACTAGGGATACCGATCTCGCGAGTGACCCTCAAATAATGCGTCTTGTATGGGCTACTTGAAGGATCCTACCCCTAGCGAACCCCCCAGTCAGAAACGTCACAATACACAAGACACAAGACAGTAAGACGCATTGTTTTGGATCCCGAAGGATCGTAGCGGATCTAGATCATCATCGGATTCTGGGAAACTCTCCAAAAACTGTGTCTTACTGTCTTACTGTCTTAACTAAGAGATTCGCTAGGGAAATTCGGTGTCAGAATCCACCTTAAGACACATTTTATATGGCGTCTTATGCAGGGATCCACTAGGGACACCGACACCGCGAGTGCCCGAAACATGATGCGTCTTCTAGGATTATCCTGCCGATGTGGCCCGATGCGTCTGCTCCGCCTTTTCTTCGGCGGTCCTCCTTCAGGATGGGCCTCCGCTTCGTCAAGACGATCCGCACCCCCGGCTCCTCCATTTTCTACTCTCTCAGAGCGGAGGAGAGCCTTCCAGTCTTCACCGCTCACTACAGGCTGGCGTATGATGCGCGCCTGATAGGACGTTGCGTCATCGGTGCCGACTTCGAGATCCTCCGAGACGACGGTCCCGTCGCCGTCGGGGAGGACCCCAGGTGCTTCACCTTCGCGGGCAGGTCGTACGTCACGGACAACTCGTGGGGCTCTTGCGCGCTCCTGGACGAGTGGGACGGCTACCGCAGGGAGAGGCTGCCGTCCGACGGCAAGAACTACACCATGGTGCCCCTGGAGGACGCGGGGCGCCTCCTGTGCATCGAGTGGCTGTCGCCGCTGACCGTGTGGGAGAGGGGAGCCGGCGGCGGAGACTGGCGCAGAGTGTGGAGTGCGAAGGGGGCCGGGGACGCATCCCTCAGGGGTGGGACGCCGGGGTACCCCATCGGAGACGGCCGCTTCTTCGGCTTCGGGCACGGGACGCTGGGCGCCGGAAGGGACGTGCGGCACGCGCCGTTCTACTGGGAGCTGGATCTGCGGGGCGAGACGCCCGCCCTCGCCACCCAGCCCCTCCCCCGCTTCGGATCGGCCATCGTCGACCCCACGTGCGTGGTCGAGAGGGGCGGGAGACGGTACCTGATCACCGCCGAGAGCGACCGGCCGTGGTTCGTGAAGCAGTCGTACCGCACGAACGTTTACGAGCTGCTCGGCCAGGAGCGGGAGCAATCGCAGCGCTCGCCGACGGTGCGATAGAGGAACTCGAAGAGCTCGTTGGAGTTGCGCGTGCGGTTCTCGAACGGGTACTTGCAGTTCACCACCACGGTCAGACGGACGCACGGGCAGTGCTCCCCGTTCGCGAATACCACCGAGAAAGTGTCCGGCTCCCAGAGGGTCTTGCGGGCCCTCAAGAAGGCGGCGACGGCGTCTTCCACGTGGAGGGGGCGCTTGACGAGCACCGAGAAGACCTCCGTGAACGTGGTGCGCGACAGGTTCACTATGACCCCCCCGGCCAGGCCCTTGTTGGGGATGCTCGTGATCCTCCGTTTGTACAGGAAGGTCGTCGAGAGCAGCCCCACCGAGTCCACCAGATACACCTCCTTGTCTATCTCCACGAAGTCGCCCACGTCGTAAGGGTGCCGGACGAAGACGAAGACCACCCCGTCCACGACGTCCCGAATGGCCGGCCCCACTATCAGGATGGAGCTGACGAGCCAGCTGCTAGCCAGGACCATGACCTTCGTGAGGTCGAGCCTGAAGACGATGATGCAGACCACCAGGGCGCAGGCCGCGAGACACACCGCGCGCGTGGCCGTGGAGATGGAAGCGATCGCGCTCCGCTTGTCGGTCAATGCGAGCTTCAGCAGGACGATCTCCTCGTTCAGGCGCACGATGAAGTCCTGGAAGGTCTGCAGACGCACCTCGTCCGCGCCCTCGAAGCAGGCGTCCATGAACTCGTGGATCTGGCCCTCGCAGCCGACGAAGAAGCGCGTCAGGTGCGTCCGATCGAACGCTTCGACGCTCGAGTCCGGCACCACGTTCGCGAACACGTCCTGCGCGAAGAGCCTCGCGGACGCCTCGTCCGCGCACTCGGGCATCTTGCGCCGCTTCCTGGCGATGCTCAGCAGCGCGTTGAAGGACACGTCGGGCGGCATGATCGTCTGTCGCTCCCCTCGCTTCCTCCGCAGGCTCGCCTCCAGGTCCTCCTCGGTCGGGCGGACGTCCGGAAGGCTGTGGTACGGCACGGAGAGCCGCTCCACCACCAGTTGGTTGGCCACGGACCTCCTGATCCGATCGAAGTACGTCCCCGCGTGGAACTTGTTGGCCAGGAGGCGCACCAAGATCGACTGGACCGCGAGCACCACTATCGTGATCTGGATCGACGTGACGACGGCGTCCACCCTCGGCCGCACGCCGGGGCGGTCGGCTCGGACGTCCCGGAACAGACCCCTCCACGTCGCGTAGCACGTCGACGACCAGAACACGTTGCGTATGGGCACCCTCAGGTTGTGCATGAGGTAGTGCGATCGGCCCCCGTACGTGAGCCGGCCGACCACGAAGGCGGTGCCTCTGACCAGCAGCGTGAATGCACCGAACGAGAAGACCGCCACGTTCAGCAACAAGATCGCGCGCCACAGCTCGTAGCCCGCCACCCAGACGCGAGGCATGAGGAATACGCCGCCCACCAGGGCCGAGGCGCATGCCACGCAGACCACCACGAAGAGGTACGCGCCGCGCGGCCGCTCCTTCCGCGCATCGAGCGTCGGGTCCGACGAGGAGCCGTCCCCGCCCGCCTCCTCCTCCTCCCCCTCCCCGTCCTCGTCCCGGTCGGCCGCATCCGCCAACACCTTGCTCAGGGAAGGCTGCCTCGGAGCCGGCTCGGCCGCGGCCCGTCGCTGCAGACCGGACACCCTCGTGACGGTCGCCTCCCTCCCGGACGACATCCGGCGCTCTGTACCGTCAGACGGCCAAAAAAGGAGGGCCGCGATCAGGACATCAGTATCCTGGCATACGTATCGTACGGGATCTGCACGAAGCCGGCCCTCGTGGGGATCTGCGGCAGGCCGTGCGCCGCGATCGTCGCCAGCCCCGTCCTCGCGGCCACCTGCTCCGCGTCCCGCTTCTTCACGTGCGCTCCGCTGCCCATCTCGAACCCGCAGACGACCACGGCCACGTCGAACAGGTCCTGGTCGCCTGCCCCTCTGAACGTGCCGCGCACCCGGTACGTGGGGAGCATCTCCTCGCCGTACCCGCTGTTGTTCAGCCCCCTCGCCGTCAGATACGAGTGCGCCGCCTGCATTATCCTCAGAAGCTTGTCCTTGAAATTCGAATCGAATTCGACCTCGCCGAAGTCGCTTCGATCCAAAAGGGGATGCAAGAACCTACGGCACGCCGAGATCCCCAGGTCGATGAACACGGCACCAACCAGGGCCTCGAACGCGTCCTCCAGCTTCTTCGCGTTGAGGTTCCACCCCGAAGCGATCGCCTTGTCGCACATGAGGATCATGTCCTGCAGCCCCAGCTCGGATGCCCACCCGGCCAGCGTGGACGTGCGCACGAGCTTCGTGCGGACCCTGGTCAGGAAGCCCTCCTGCCGGTCCGGGTACCTGTCGAATATGTATTTGGTCACGACGATGTTCAGCACCGAGTCGCCCAGGAACTCGAGGCGCTCGAAGTCGCCATCCAGCACGTACTCCCCCAGCGCGGACTTGTGGGTGAGGGCCCTCACGTACACGCCCAGGTCCCGCGGTCGCAGGCGCTCCCCGTCCCCCACGAACCGATTCAGCGCGGCCTCTATCGTGCGCCGGCTCACGTTCCTCGCCTCCAAGAGCACCCTGCCGTCCCTGCGCTCCCCCTCCAGCATATCGAATGCTAAGGAGCCCCGAAAAAAAGCGTCGGCGTTACGACCGGATCTTCGTCGCGTCTATGCTGTCCGGATCGTCGTCCGGGTCCACCAGGCCCGCCTCCGCCCTCCGACGCCTGTGGAGCGTCCGCATGTAGGCGATCACCGCGAGGGCCGCCAACGCGAAGAGCGTGATCGGATCGTCGAGGAGCGCCCTCATCTCCTCCAGATAACGATGCAAAATATTATCGGAGCATATAGATACCACGGTGCTTCGGATATGGCGAGAGTGAAGACAGCGACGAGGCCGAAAGTGAAGTCAGCGACGAAGCCGAAAGCGAAGCGCGCGACGACCGGCAGGAAGGCGCCCAAGGCTCCGGCATCGAGCTACAGGGCGAACTCCGTAGTCAGAGGGCTGGACGGCAGGAGCTGGGTGGTGAAGAAGCGGGAGGACGGCGCCAAGGCCTGGTACCGCCACGGGACCGCACCGACCCGCATCTCCTCGAAGGGGCGCAACGCGCCTCCGTACCCCGCGACCAGGTTCCCCATCGGGACGCAGAAGAGGGGCGGCAACGGCTGCATGTACGGCGTACACAAGTTCCGCAAGGTCCCCCGGTGGACCATGCTCACCGGCGGCCCCAAGTGCGGCAAGTGGTCTCCGAACAGAAGGCAGGCTCCCGGGGCCAGCGCCAAGGCCGTTGCGGTCGGCACCGTCGCGACGGGACGGAACGGCCATAAATGGAAGGTCGTCAAGAACGTCAACGGCGAGAAGTCGTGGCGCCAGCTCCCCAAGTTCGGTGCGTCAAAGGGCCGTAAGAGCAAGGGCTGGTCGGCTGCGGACGTGGATGCCGTCATCCGGAGTCTGCTCTGATCGACCGATCGCGTCATTTTGCGACCGGCCGCTTCCGCCGCTTGGTCGGGCGAGACTTCGTGGTCGCGGCGCGAGACGAGGTCGACTTCCTCTTCCTCGCGGCAGCCCCACCGTGGACCGCACACTTGGTGCGACCTTCCGTCGACATCGACTTCCACCTCTTTCCGAGGACCGTGACGGCAACGCAACGAGCCATGATCGCACGTATATGAGGAACGACCGAAAATATTTCACGGGTCGGCAGGCGCGTAGAGGCCTCCTTGGTGCATGACCACTTGGTAACAGAATACGGTGTCCTGCACCTCCCGAGATGACGTGGCAGTCGAGGAGAATGTGTCTTGGACGGGCACACGCGGGGTCGGTATTCCTAGTGGATTCCTTAATAAGACGCATTAAAAAATGTGTCTTACGGAGGATCCTTGGGTATAATTTCCCCAGTGGATCTGTTAGTTAAAACAGTAAGACAGTAAGACGCATTTTTTTGAAAAGTTCCCCAGAATCCGATGGACGATCTAGAACCGCCACGATCTCGA